CCACCTCCCAAGTAGCTGGGACCACAGGCGCCCACCACAATGCTCGGCTATTTTTTTTTGGTTGCAGCCATCATTGTTGTTTGGCTGGCCTGGGCTGGATTGGAACCCGCCACCTTAGGTGTATGTGGCTGGCGTCTTAGCCACTTGAGCCACAGGCACCGAGCCAACGGAAGTTCTTAACCACCAAAGATTCATTCTCTGGAACCCCGACATCCTCCACTTTGTCCTGATATCATTGCCATTCCTCTTTCAATCACATTCATCTAAAATGCAACTTTTGGTCATCTATCTTTTATCCTTAAGATTGCCAGAAGATGCACCCTGTTGTCACAGGCTAGTACAAGGCCACCAGGAGCTTGCCAGCCATTGTCAAAAAAAGTACAGAAAAGCTCCTGGGTGGGCCCCCAAGCATCTCTCTAATTGAATTGATGTGGAAGTCTTGTCACAATGGATTAGAAATGAGCCTGTCTGAAAAAAAAAAATTAAATAAAAATTTGAAGAAAAAAAAAAAAGATTGCCAGAAGATGTCTGATTTTTTTTCCAGCCCATTATAAATTAACATATTATTATGTTAATAATTAACATAAATTATCAATGTCAATCTTAACAAGACTAATTTTCTTTTAATTCTCTACTCTCCTTTATCCCTTGGGATACTTCAGGAAGGTTGAAAAGCCTAAAATTACACTTTCACAGATGCCGTTGCAACTAGTCAAATGAACTTTCAAGCAATGTGGAAGACAGAAGAGAAGGGACATCTATCTTCCTGTTATTGTGTAGCCAGTAAGCAAGGTCCTGAGATGTGAGGTGTTAGAGACAATTAAGAGAGCCACTTGATTCTTCCAGTGTTTAGTCACCAGGTATCTCAAAGCAGAATTTTAGCAGGGGTATGAGAGATAACAGCAGGAGCTTCCAGGCTTCTCCAATGTGTCTCCAGCAGCAGCTCCTTCAATTCTATCCACTGGCAATTCACACAACAATTTCATAAGCATCCAATTCTCTAGAAGTGTCTTTCTGCTGTAAATACCTAATGTAGTTTCTGTTTCCTGTACTAAGCCCTGATTAGTAATAAATGTTTACAATTTAATCATCTCATTGATACTCTTAACTACTTTTCTTATTTTTTATCCATGGGTTTGGTTACCATTATCCCAATTTTGCTTCCACAGAAAACCAATTATAGCAGGTTCAGATCTCATACTAGGACTTGGAGATGACTTCCTACCTCACAGCCTAGACTACTATAAGTGTGACTTGTCCCTTCTAAGAAATGTTAAATAAATTCTAAAGCCTTACTGATTCCTATAGAGAACGAATAAGGAAAATATCAAATTCATCTTAACCTATGACTGCATTAATACACACAGCTATGATTTAATAAAAAAAAACATATCAAATTCTTCCAAGGAATAAGAAAAATATCAAGTATAAAAAGACAAAAAGAATTTGAAGTGACTCTTGCAAAAGCCACTCGAGAGAATTCTAGGCAGAGTCAAGTATATTTTCCCCTGCTCCCATAAACACCTTTTACTATTCTCTTTAAAATAGGTATCACTTGTCAGCAATTATTTTTGTGACTGCAACTGGTCTGTAAGTCCTTGAAAAGCCAGGAAATATATTATACTCATTTCTCTATTCCCACAGCCTAACCCAAAGCCTGACAATTAAAAGTGTTCTCTAAATACTTATCAATGAACACTTAACTCTAATTATATAATCAGAATTTTAAAGTGACCTTAAAGAGGATCTTAACAGTCATCCCAATTATAAGCTGCTCAAAGAAATGAAGACACAAAAAGGTTGAGTGGAAACGTCTCATGTTATAACAAATCTAGGTCACGGTCTGTTTGTTCATGCATTTGTTCATTCAATTAGATATTTATTAATACTTAATCAGACAAAAGGCAACATTAGAAAATACACCATAAAATCACCCTATAAAAATTACAGAATTGTAGAAAAGGAAGGAAGCTTCAAGATTATCTAATCTCCTATTCCTCATTTCAACCTATTTGATAGATTTTTTTTTTCAAAAAAGTAGGACTCAAAGACATTAAGTGATGTGAAAGTCAGTTAACAGCATAGCTAAACTTAGGACCCATCTCCCAACCGCCCATCTTGCATTCTACCCTCCATAACGCACATCAACTTTCTGTGATTTCAGCAAGTGTTATACTTTGTGTTTGTAAAGTATGAGCTGCCAATGCAACATCCTAATTCTCTTTATTCATACTGT